TCGTTTTATGCCATTTTTTTTATATGATTGATGGTTATGCATGATTAGTGGCATATACGTTTAATTATACATTCATTTATGCATATATCACATATATATTTGTTGGTGCTGTGGAGGCATAGGTAAGTGCCAGGTAAGCGTTGTTTAACATTCACATTAAATAGTGATTCGAGGTGCTTAGAGAGCTCATAACCTGCACCCCCGGTGTTAGTGCTCCCGCCCAGAGCAGGGCACAGTCCTTCACGTGTTGTTCACCTCCCGCACCACACGCTCAGCTTGAATCCAAGTTAGGTGCACAGTCCTGTCGTACAGACCACTATAGGTGGTTCCGACTCGTAGGTGACCCGCGATTATTCGCACAGTCTTCACGTGATCGTAGCACTAGAGCGTTTATATGTATTACACCCAGGCCTGTCGTACAGACCACTATAGGTGGTTCCGACTCGTGGGCAGGTTTAGTGATTTAGTTGAGATTTGAGCTCTAGATTCAGCCGTACAGGTCACTTAGGGGACTCCGGCTGCCAGATTATATGCTATTGACGTGATTGATACCTGAGCACATGCATGATATTATAAGGTTTCGTGATGGCATACCCTTGAGCATGACTTGGCATGTCTATGCATATGTGTTCATTTTCTGGGAAGTATACAGGTTTTACGGCGAGGGGTTAGAATGTATTTTATGAATTGGTTTTCAAAGAATTTGTTTTTGCCCACTCACGCTTTTGTTTTGCGCCCCTCCAGGTTCTAGTAGCTTAGCGGGTTTGGTGGTTTTCCCGGAGGACGTCCCGGCATTCTGACAGACACTCACCTACGTAGGGTCACCTTCGGGTGCACTTTTGTTCTATCGTTTCTTTTGGACTGCTGTAGGCTTAAAGCTCTGAATTCAGCGTCTTACTTTTGCTAGCACATACTTTATCACATTATATTTGCTAGTTTTAAATTATTCGTACTTTTATATTACTGTTTTTAGCTTCCGCACTGTGCAAATGGCTACGTCACTTCCACGTGACGGCCAGCATGCCCTGATCTTGGTTGGGGTGTGTCATAAACTGAGATTATGATTTGCCCATTAGAAATGGAATGGTGGAAAGACCATGAAGATTTCTTCATTGATCATTGAAGGACATGAATAAAATTATGGAATGAGACCTTGAGTTCATTTAATATAAACGATTTTCCAATTGTGTTTCTTTTTTTCGTTTGATGAAAAGAATTGATGGACAAAGTTGTAATTACAAATTTGATTGGTTGGGTTGCCTTAGTCATGAGTTGTCATTGTTGGATTTGATATTGCGAACAGAATTGATGAAGCGCACATATTTTCATGGCTATGTGATTAATAAAGTTTAATTTTGTTGACCGTTAGAAGCATGATATATAAATTCTCTCCTTTGGTTGATGGAATGTGAATAGTGCTCTGGAAATGTGAGTCACTAATTTATTCTATATGTGGCTATACTTTGAAGCAATTTAAAAGAGAAACAATTGAAAGAAAGATTTAAAAGGCTTTTAAATTTACTATGGGTAATTTAGTTTAATTGTGGATATGAATGAAATCATAGAAAGAGATTTTGATTTCGTTCAATGTTAACGGTATTGCGGATTCGGTTTTAAATTTCTTTCCATTACCCACTGAGTGTGATTGGAAGTTTCAATGATTTTGGTTGAAATTTTTGATATTTGATTTGCCAATTATAAAGGTTTGTCTTGAAATTTTGATATTACTTAGCCACTGATGATTATGGCTTGAAATTCTGATATCTATTTGGCTGAAGATAGTTATGGCTGGAATTTATGATATTTGTTTTTGTCAATATAGAGTATGGCAAAAATTTTCTGATGTTGGTATCGGCCGTGTGTGTGGTTAGAAATTTGGAGGAAAAACCGTTGTAACGATGGCATATAACCAGAGATGGTATGTAGTTTACCAATGATTGTGGTTATTATGCTAGTATTTATCTAGTTAGTGGTAGATAGGGTTTAAAATCTGGTATAATTTAGTCAATGGTAAATGTGGCTTGACGTTTGATATTATGTATAGCTAGAAATTTTGATATTTATTCTACCAATGAGGGTGGTAGGAAATACGAGTATAGTTGATTGTTTTGTGGAATTATTTATTTTTCGGAGCTTGGATTAAATCGTAGATTGAGACTATGTTTTTATTCGCCATTAAAGAATGGTGGGGATAGTTCTAATTTCTTTTTGTAACTCGATGGTTGAAATCTCGGGGATGAGATTTATTTTAACAGGGGATGAATGTAATACCCTGAAAATTTAAATATATGAATATGAGGAGAAAAAATCGAAAATAAATTGATTTATGGTTATGAAAATTTAATTGAGAAATTTTAAATTTTGTTTCTGGAAATTATTATAATTTACGTCATAAAATGTATCAATAAGTGAAAAAGACGAACATGGCCCTAGTTGGCTTAATGTAGTTATACGAGGATGCATTTTATCTTAATATATTTTATTGTATTTCTTGATGTATTTGAATAGTACTCGTTGATACGAATGCGTGGGCACAAACGGAATATAAATTGGAGTTATAACGAAAGGGTTATAAACAAATAAAGATAGGGACTAAATGGTCATTTAATTATTAATCTGGAAGGCTCTAGATTTGTGAGAGCTTTGATCAGGAGCCACGTGTGTCGCTGTGATGGGGAGAAAAGAAGAGAAAAGAGGGGGAACAGACGAATTAGGGGTGGGAGGAAAGAAAGTGACCAATCAGGGAGAAAAGAAAGGAAGGGGAAAGGAGAGAAGGGGGAGACAAAGGATCCACAACCCACACCCTTTGCAACCCAACCCGGTCGGAAACAATGGTTTCTAAGGGTTCCTCCGACCAAATTCCGACGATTTAAGCTAAGTCATCACATGGAAAGTACTGCACAACCCTCCCTTTACCATTTCCACCCCAAATCCAAAGGGATTGGGCTCAAAATCACAAGGAGTCACACCGGTGGATGCGACGGACCACGCCAGCGAATTGATCAATTCCAAATGAAAACATGTCGATCTCCTCCACCTTTAGACTCCCCTTGAGCCTTGGGCCCAATCAGTTTCAGGGGCGGCGGAACATGAGGAAGGAAAATTGAAGCACACCATTTTTAGGGTTTTCGGCAAGTTTGAGTGAAATTGGGGCTTTTCCTGGCCAAATTGGACCTCTGCCCAAGTATGAAAATTTTCCTCTCCCAGTAGGCCAACGCTGTCTTTTCATGCAAATTTTGATATTTTTAAATCCATAATTAGTGCTCATTTTGCATGATTCAATTGTGAGAAACTAATGTTAAATATTTTCGTTATTAGAGTATTTTCGAAAATAGATAAAAGATTAAATGGTGAACTACGGAAGGCTTGATCCCGCTCGAGGGTACGTAGGCAGTCTAACAGGGTTAGATGCAACCGTAAATAGTTGAGATTAATCTTTTGTTGGGAATTCAAATTAAGAAAAGAAATTTGGTGATTAATTGTAAAAAAAAATTAAATCTTATGTTTTGGTAATTAAATTTGGTTATAGATTTGGTGAGTGCTTAATAAATTTAAATAGAGTGATTAATGGTAGTAAAGTAAACAAGAATTTAATGTGGGCCTATTATCAAAATTATTTCCTGAAAATAAATATTTCGGGAGCGAGACGTTACGCTGGTGTTGTAGCTGAAGAACTCGGCAGCGAGATGGAAGCTGACCAAGATTAGGGCTTTGTACAAGCTTTCTGGGGCAAGCAAGATGGAGAAATCTGCAAAAACAAAGTTCAAAACGACCTCTTTTGTGGATTATTTATCAAATGTCTTTTCCCTTTTATTCGTTTTATTACCAAATTTTTTCTTAAAACTAATATGGAAATTGTTTTTCATAAAAATAATAACAATACAATTTATCCGACATAGTACCAAACACAACATTAAATAGTCAGTCTATAATTCAATAATGCACCAAACACCCGCCTGATTTAGCCTATACTATCTGGTAACTATTTATCCTATCCGATTGATATAGTTAGTACAGTCCGAGCTGCCAAACAAGACCTTAGGTTTATACTTTTGTCTCTTTAGTGTTAGATGTTTTCAAAATAAAGGCTTTTAAAAGGGTCGGCACTACTATGGTGACTAGTCGGATTGAAGCAGAATTTGGATTTCAAGGTGTTGATATCAAAATTTGGATAGAGCCTGACTAGGGTCCATACATTATTTCTCCCCGAGTGTTTCTTTCGGTTTCGATGCCACAAGATGACTTAAAAGAAAGAGAGAACAAGTATGCTACAGTTGGAAGCTGCTAACAGATAGTGATTGACATGTAAGAATTAACATACCAACCAAGATTAAAACATGAACTACAATCTAATAAGAACTAACCAGAATTTGTGTGTGAGTGAAACAAGAAGAAAACCTACCTGCAGAAGTTCCCGAACTAGAAGCCATAGAGCTAAGCTTTCAGTGAACCTTCTTCTCTCTCCCAGAAAATCAAGAGCTCGACTTACAATAGACTTAAGTCTCTATATGAGCGTGTATTTTGTGAGAGAAGAGACCACTATATATATACATATAATCTTTTCCATACCAGAAAAGGATTCCCTATTAAAATCCTTATAGAAAACAAATACTTGCTTTCCTTGTTCCGCAAGAACTGATCTTAATGCTATGAAAAACCTTTCTTCATTAAGGACTAGCAATCCTCTTATCAATAAGACTTTTCTGCCAAACTAAATACCCAAAGCCGGTTCCCTGAAACTTCTCTATCTCATACTCATTTTAACTTTCTCCCACTTGAGTATAAGAACAGTTTCAAGCACACAGCTTTATTCCGTTTCAGATAGAAGTGATCACTAAGCCTTTCAACAAGAGTACTCAATCACAAACTATTCATATACATTTCAAAATATAGAACTCTGTAACTTATATTGCAACCATAATGCAAAAATAGTTATCCAGAATTACATATATTCGATTTGTTATTCTCATTATTGTGAATTTGATCATTACCAGCAAATATGTATAAATTTGCTCCCACTATTTCATAACATTGACAGCAAGATTTAAAGACAATCAATTGCTCCAAAACAATGTATGAACCAACAATTCAATAACAATTGCTTGAACAGACTAACTGTTATAAAAGCATCAAATGAACCATCTCTCTGCATCTGCTTTCTCAGCCTGTGTACATTGATCAGTCAGAATTGGTTTGGGAGTATCCAATGCAACATCAAACTCATTAAGTGTCAACAACAGTCCAATCTCTCGTCTCCACTTCTTGTAGTTGCTTCCCCCAGTGAGAATGGGAATATTGGCCAAGTTCATAGTCCTTAATGATATTGCAGATCCTGCAGAAGTTCTGAAATCACAAGTATGAACTTATTAGTTCCTGATTCCATTTCTACATCCTTTTGCACATCATGACCATGATCACAGATTCATATATATATAGTCTTAACAACGATTTGTTGATAAGCATACATAGAATAAATGATATAACAAGAACTTAGTCAACATGCTGCAGAAGTCATGTATCCTCAGGCACCGGAAAGTTAATGGTGTCTCATACAGAATTTATATGCTAAACAGTTTCTAAAGTTATCAAGGTTTAATCATAATGCAAAATTTGTATTCAAAGCTGATATCTTTATCTGTTTCTTACTGCAGCATATTAATTCAAACTGATGTCCAACATTTATAGATTCCCACGTGCAGCATAATATAAATTGTTATCACACCAGATTCAAACCAGATTCACAAAATCTGCAGAAGCAAAGCAGATTCATATGCGCTAAAACATACACAGGTATTGTTAGAATTAAAAGCAATCATACCTTGTAATCACTGATTTCAAATTCACCAATAGAACAGCGGAAGCGATTTAGAATTTGAAAACAGAAGCTTTTAGCACTTAAGGGAAAAACCCAGATCATTGTTCATGAAAGGAATTAAAACTGACTCTAATCCGAGAAAACCCTCATTGGGCAGTGGTTTAGGGATACCAACAGTTTATTTTTATTTTTTTATTTTTATTTTTTAAAAGGGCGTTAGTTTGTTGTTTCCATCACCACTTCTTTTACAATCTCCAAAACCAGACTTTGATTCTTCATGAGAGCAAGAGTAAATTTTTTTTTTTTATACATAGAATGATAACACAAACGTTTGATCTCTACCGATTGAACTCATGTTTATAAATCTTGTGGCTCTGATGCCACATGTAAGAATTAAAATACTAACCAAGATTAAAACATGAACTACAACCTAATAAGAACTAACCAGAATTTGTGTGTGAGTGAAAAAAGAAGAAAACATACCTGCAAAAGTTCCCGAACTAGAAGCCATAAAGCTAAGCCTTCAGTGAACCTTCTTCTCTCTCCTAGAAAATCAAGAGCTCGACTTATAATAGGCTTAAGTCTCTATATGACAGTGTATTCTGTGAGAGAAGAGACCACTATATATACATATAATCTTTTCCATACCAGAAAAGGATTCCCCATTAAAATCCTTATAGAAAACAAATACTTGCTTTCCTTGTTCCGCAAGAACTGATCTTAATGCTATGCAAAACCTTTCTTCATTAAGGACTAGCAATCCTCTTGTCAATAAGACTTTTCTACCAAACTAAATACCCATAGCCGGTTCTCTGAAACTTCTCTATCTCATACTCATTCTAACATGACACGCCCCAACCCAATAACCAACTAGTTAAAAAGGTGATGATGTGCTAGTCATCACTAAATTGACAATAACCTCACCGTAAGGTGACAAAATACCATCAACTTAACGACGAAGCTATGAGTATAGAAATTAAGATGTGAATAAATTCAAACTGAGAAGCTCATTATTATTAATATTAAAAAAATATCCTTGAGTTCCAATACAACCTCTCTACTTGGGGACACATTAGGATTTAAACCATTATTATCACATTGTTCAGAACATATTAGTAGTGCATACAACAGAAACCACAAATGTATGTACATGTTGTGTCATGCATAACCAAAAAAGTACAATCATGCATATTATTACAACTAGATAAAAGATAAAGCATAAGTAAAACTACCCTACTCTGTAGAGAGTTCGCACTACTGCAAAGCCCACTTGTCTTCCTCAATAGTTGTCTTGTTATCTCTAGGTCCTGAGGGGGCACAAATTATTTATAGACTCTAAATCATTTTGAACATACTAACCCCCGTTTTAGAAAACATGTATAGTGTACAATTACATACTAATATCTACTACAATATATGTTAAACGAAACCACAATCAAAATCATAAATTCAGAAATCATACATGACCAAACAATAATAATACTAGCATCTACTAGCATAAGTATGGAATGCAAGTATACATGACGTCTACCTATGCATTGCTAGTGTCTACTAGAAACATATGAACACCAACAAGTATCCTACGACCGAAGATAGCTATACAAGATATATGAAAGACCATGTGGTGAAAATAAATCACCAATATGGATGATTCAATTATATGGTCATCTAACCAATTCTACATAAGTCTCATCCAATACTACCTTCAAAACAGTTAAATACATCAAGAAATAGTTTAATCGAAAAAATTAGTTTTGAAGAGATCCAATCATAGGTATTCCTAGCGTAAATCCTGAATAGGCGCCTCCGCCTTCGTCCGAGTTAGTCAAACTTGTACGTGTGAATGTATTATTTAGTTCTACTAATCACATTTGAACATTTCTCTAATTCAACATTCAAAAGTATTATTCAGATATTGATTTTGCACAAACGGAGTACACCACGCGACTCGGAATGTCGAATACGCTAAGGCCCTGTTTGGCAAATCGGATAAAGGATCGGATATGATTAGTTATACGGACCCGGGTGTTTGGCGTTCACTCGTACTAAATAAGCACCGGATTAATTTAACCGGTCGGATAGGATAATACGGTATACACCCGCTTAATAAAACCAACCAAAACGTCCGGATTATTTAGTCGGGGAAGAAGAATATGGGAGAGAAAGGGAGGGAGTTTGGGGGGTATGGCGGAGAGAGTTGGGGAACAATTATTTGGGATTCTTCTACCGTCGGGGAAGAAGAAGGGAGAGGGAGGGAGGGTGTTTGGGGGGTGCGGAGAGACCTGGGAACAAAAAAAGATTTCATTTTTAAAATTTTTTTTTTTTTTAAAGTTTGATGCTTCCTATCTAGTATAATATCAAACACAGTATAAATAATACGGTCACTAGTCCGATACTGCACCAAACACCCGACTAATTTAGTCAGTACTATCCGGTGGCTATTTATCCTATCCGACAGAAATAGTCATTACAGTCCGAGCTGCCAAACGAGGCCTAAGATTATGTTTTAGTCCCCCACCCGTCGTCGTATGCGCCGCCAAAGTGCCAGCACGCGTTGCCATGCACCGTCACGCTCTGGTTGCTTACCAGTGGACACGTCGCCATTGCTAGTGAGCACACGTCACAGTCGCCTGGGACACGCGCCGGTCATCGGTTTCAATTTAAGTGTTAACGGAATATACTTTTTTTCGGTGGAAGATTTCGTTACAATTAATACAATTCGCCGTCTGGTACTAAGCCGTCAATTTCTGTTGCCGGCCGCCTCCTCTGCCGCCGGAATCTTTGCTGGATTATGTAAATATTTCAAAATCCGTCCAAAGCTTGATTAAGCTCGATTCTTCACCAAAAAGTAAACCAAACTTCTCAGAAGCGCTTAGGAAACTTACCTAAACACCAAATTTAACAATTTGGAACGAATTCCACCTCGTTTCACCAAGGTTCGCCGGAGAACATAATTTAACCCCACATAATCACAGAGCCACATAATTTAACCCCACATCATCACAGAACATAAAATAAAAAAAATAAAAAAATAAAAAAATCCAAATTAACAAGAATTTGGACAAAAACCCCACCTGAGTTCAACAAAATAGCTCGGAGCTCGTGAGTTTCCGAGTTTAGCACCGTCCCGGTCTCGGATAATCCATGCAAACCCACCATTCGACTCTACATACCAAGCTAACCATGAATTTGATAGTTTTGGTCGGTGATTTGGTTTGAAATTGATGGTGATGCTGAGTGGTTCTCTCGGTGGAGTGAGAGAGAGTGAAAGAAACCGAGAGTTAGAGAGTTAAAATAGAAAATTGTTGGTATCCAGACCATCTTCATCATTAATAAAACTTGAATAAAAAGAAAGATGGAAATCTTTATAAGAGGCAGTAGCAGCAGCAGAATGAGAAAACAGAGGGCAGAGAGGATACGGTAAAAAGAGGGAGCAGAGAGATCTTTCTCCGAAGATATATTTTCTTTTATTTGATTTCAGAACATGGGACATCTAATAAGGCATTTAGCAGCCCCTTTACAAAAGATCTAAGCCATACATGTGGCAATAGAGTAGAGACCTAAAACATTTCATATTTCATAAAAGGATTAACTTTAAAGCAAAGGATTAACTTTAACACTCCCTCTTAATGCTTTGCTGCTTCACTTCCAAAAGTTCTCTTAGGTAAATGAATCTATCCTTTGGTAATGCCTTGGTGAAGATATCATCAACTTGATCTTTTGTCCTGTAGTAGACCACATCCACTTCCTTGTCTTCCACATCACCTTTGATGTAGTGATGCTTCAGAGCAATATGCTTTGATTTGCCATGACAGACAGGATTCTTGCTCATGGCATTAGCTTACTTGTTGTCACAAGGGATATGAGTTGCTGATTCTTGTTTCTCACCAAAATCTTGCATAATTCTTCTTAGCCACACTGCTTGAGAAGTTGCAATTAAAGCCGACACATACTTAGCCTTTGTCGTTGGTAGTGCAATTGATTTTTGCTTCTTAGATGCCCAAGAGAATACACCAGTCCCTAGTGTAAAAGTATAGCCAGATGTGCTCTTCAAGTCATCCACACTACCTCCTCAATCACTATCACAGAACCTATACAATTTTGGCTCAACATTCCTTTCATACATAATACCAAAGTCAAGTGCACCTTGTATGTATCTTAGGATCCTCTTTGCAGCTCCATAGTGAATGCAAGTAGGCTTGTGCATAAATATGGACAACAAGCTTGAAACATACATAATATCGGGTCTAGTCGTTGTCAAATACAACAAACTCCCAACTAGGCTTCTATACACAGATTCATCAGCATCACCATTACCATCTTCTCTTTGAAACTTTTCATTCACAACTAGAGGTGTTGCAACAGGCTTGCAACCAACCATTTTGAATTTTTCTAGAAGTGTTTTTGCATATTTCTTTTGAGTAATAAAGATACCATTATTTGATTGAATAATAGTAATTCCCAAAAAAATAATGCAACATGCCTAGATCACTCATCTCATATTTCCTCATCATGTCATTCTTGAAATTCAAGATCATTTTATCACTACTTCCAATATAAACCAAATCATCAACATATAAGGAAATGATAAGGATATCTAAAATACCTTTGATTTTGACATAGAGGGCAGGTTTATTCTCACTTCTTTGAAATCTCCTTTCATTGAAATATGAGTCGATCTCTCCAAACCATGCTCTTGGAGCTTGTTTCAGGCCATAAAGTGCCTTCTTAAGCTTGTACACCTTATGCTCTTGTCCTTTAAGAACAAATCCTTGAGGTTAATCAACGAACACTTCTTCTTTTGTACACCTTATGCTCTTGTCCTTTAAGAACAAATCCTTGAGGTTAATCAACGAACACTTCTTCTTTTAGGACTTCATTTAGGAAAGCAGACTTGACGTCAAGTTGGTGTAGAAACCACCCTTTCTGAGTAGCTATAGAAATAAGGCCTTTGATTGTTTCATGCCTAGCTACTGGTGCAAAGGTTTCTTGGAAGTCAATCCCGAGTTTCTAAGAATAACCTTGTGCTACTAATCTAACTTTGTTCCTTTGAATGGAACCATCTTGATTGAACTTAGTCTTATAAATCCATTTCACTTCAATGACGGAGTTGTCAAAAGGTCTGTCTACTAGTTCCCATGTCTTGTTTTTCATTATGACATTGATCTCCTCTTGCATTGCAGCCTTCCATGTATCTTCTTTCACTACATCATCAAAGTTTTCTGGTTCTACAACACAAAAATTGCAGCTTTCATAGACTTCATTTAAGCTCCTTAATCGAACTGGCGTTGAACTTAGACTCAAAGATGTAGGGAAAGTGAACTTGAGAACTGTTTTCAGGTGACAATTGTGAAATTTCTGGCTTAATTTCCTCTTCATTTGACTGATTTTCTTCTTCAATTCTGATTAGTGCAAATTCATCTCGGATGGTTGCTTAATTCCAATCCCATGAGATTTCTCACTAAGGAGAACATCTCTACAAACCATAACTTTCTTCTATTTTAAATTGTAGAGTCTATACCCTTTTGTGTGTGAAGCATAGCCTACGAAAATGCATCTTTCACTTGACTCATCAAGTTTTTGTCTTAGTTCTTTCGGAACATAAGCAAAGAAATTGATCCAAACACTCTCAAGTGATTCACGAAGGCTTTTTTCCACTCCATGCCTTAAATGGTGTCTTGCCTTCAACCACCACTGTCGGATGCCTATTCATTAAGTAGACCGCTGTATTAACTGCCTCACCCCACAAATATTAAGGCATTCCCTTGTCATGCAACATTGCCTTAGCCATTTCAACTATGGCTCTGTTTTTTCGCTTATCTACTCCATTTTGTTGTGGAGTGCAACTGACAGTAAGTTGCTTTTCTAAGCCAATATCTTGACAAAACTTATCAAATTTTGTGGATGTGTACTCTCCTCCTCTATCACTTCTAAGAACTTTGATTAGATAACCAAGTTGTCACTCAACCATAGCTTGAAACTTCTTGAAGATGGAGAACACTTCTGATTTCTGTCTTAGAAAGTATACCCAAGTTATTCTGGAATAATCATCCATGAAGATCAGGAAATACTTGTTTGCCACTTGAGTAGAGGTCTTCATGGGTCTGTAAATATTTGTATGAATCAATTCCAATAGAGTTTTTGCTTTCCAAGCTTTACCATGTGGAAATGAATCTCTATGATGCTTCCCAAGTGCATAACCTTCACAGAGTTCTTCATTTTCTTGGATACTCGACAACCCATGCACCATTTCTTTTTCTTGTAGCTTCTTAAGACTTTGAAAATTCAAGTGGCCAAGCCTTTTATGCCATAGCTTTGAATCTTCTTGCACTTCCATCTTGAGTGCAGATTGAGTTGTATACTCAATTGTAAAAGGAAAGCTTCTACTCTTCCTCATCTCAATCTTAGCCAAGAGTTGTTCACGATTCCTCCCATCATATATGTTGCAAATATTGTCTCCAAAATACAAGTAAGGCTCAATGAGTTGTCTAAGACTTAGCAAATTTTGCTTCATATCAGGAACTAATATAACATCCTTGATGAACATCTTTCCATTCTTCGTATGCACGGCAATAGTACCTCTTCCCAATGTATCGACTAGCTGCCCACTTCCTATTTTCACTCGGGTTGGCTTTGTAGTGTCAATATTATGGAGAATGTTCTTGTTGCCGTCATATGATTGCTACAGTCATTGTCCGCAAACCAAACTTTAGCTTCTTCTTAGACGGTTGTATCATGACCAACATAAAACATATTCGTCTCTTCACCTTCTGCTTTGGTGTAGTGAGCTAGCTGATTATCTTTGTAAGTACAATCCTTTTGCATATGGCCGAATCTGCTACACTTGTGGCATTTCACTTTTCCCTTGAACCAACATTCACCGGAATGAGCTTTGTCACAAATTTTGCACTTCGAAACATACGAACTATTCTCAACCTTTTTCTTCTTTTCAAAATTACCGCTTCCTTCCCAAACTTTGTTTTTGCCCTTTCCAATTCTTGTTGGACTTGGGTTTGCTTTGACTTGAACTAGCTTCAATTTTTGGATTCACTGTAAGTGTTTGAAAACATTTTCTACATCATTGTTGTCATGCCTGAATAGTCTTTGAGAAAAACCTTTGAGTGAACCAATCATTTCTTCAACACTCAAGATGACAAATCC